TTCCGCTGTTCACTACTTTGCAATTCTTCTTCTACATGGGCTGGCTAAAGGTGGCCGAGACTCTGATTAATCCCTTTGGAGAGGACGATGATGACTTTGAGGCGAGTAGCTAGAAACTAAATGAATATTTAAGGCTGAGCATGTTTTTATTATCTTCATAGGTCAACTGGATGATTGATAGGAATTTGCAAGTTTCCTATCTCATTGTCGACGAAATGCATCATGAGCATCCCGAGTTGGTGAAGGACCAATACTGGGATGAAATTTTTCCCAACGAACTGCCTTATCAAGGGGATAGCAAGCGTGAAGAGCCACCTGAACAGTCTACTGCAAGACTGGATTTCAGCGCCAACCAGACGACTGCACTCTCACGAGCTGAGTCAAAATATGATGGAGTGGTAAGTAAAACGGACTAAATATTTTTGAATGGGTCATTAAGTCACCTTGGACTACTTTACCATTTTCCTGTTTAGAACACTTTCAGTTTATCACAAAAAAACATAATTATCTTTTTTTTTTTTTTAGACTACCAGTACCCGAATTGCTGACCACGCAACTGCATCATCGTCAATTAGCCGAATAACCGATACCAGTACACGATTTCGTGCTGCCTTGCAAAGGTTTCTTGCGCGTGAACCTAATGAAAAAGACAGCACGCCATCACAACCAGATGCTGAGAAGCAAGCATCAACACAGACTAACGGTTCAGTACATTCTCTAGCCAAATCGCCGACTATAATACGCACTGCTGAGGCATTGCATATTATTGATGAAAAATTAGATGATTTGGATGCAGACAAAACCTTAACCGATCAACCAGACATATCAACAACAAAAGATGTGCGTCAGTTATTTCATGGCGATCATGAAGATACCGTGCTACCTAGTAGTGTGGAAAGCATGCAACATGAGAGTGGTTCGTCCGCGCAAGTGACGTGTAAGTAATAAGAGTACATAATTTTAATTTTGAATTGAGTATGATTGACTTCATCTTTTATCAACTCAGTTTGCCGGCTAAAGGCTAATATAGGGCAAATGAATAATATTTTGCAATGAGGTATATCAGACTTTTTACTGTACAACAAGTGTTGGCGTTGTAACCACCTAAGCGATTTTAATCGCGTTCAACAAAGCACGCCAGTCGCTTCGCTTCTATGCTAACTCCCACCAATTAGAAATACCAAGTGAAGCCAAGTCATTCTCCACTTGGTCTTTCCATCGCAGTAAAGGGCTTTTTATCCTTCTGCTTCCACCTTCGTGTTTCGAGTTGAAGACTTTTATCTCTTTGAATGACATAGCCGCAATCCGTCGCTCTATCTGCTGCGGTATTGCACATCGGCAAAGCGAAAGTCCCGGCAATCTTCCGCAGAATCTCTCAAAAACTCCAAGAGCTGCCTCAAGTAAATATTTCTGCATCTTTTCATGGACGGTAAGTTCTGTGGTACCTTCGCCGCCAAGGCCCCGCTTCGCTTCGTTCAGTGTGAACTCTACCAGCTTTGCTCTGTTCCGTCTTGCTGCGCAGGAGATACATCGTCTTGGCCTCGTTTACCTCCAGACCCATCCGCTTTGCTTTCTTTTCTTACTTGGAATAGGCAAACAGACTTCGTGGTTTTGTTAACGAAATAATTTTGCAAACTATTTTGCACATAACTTTAAACACAACTCACTATGAACAACTACTTAAGTCAATCGCTAGTTAGCCTACGGCTTTCCTTCTCTTTCGTAGTTGAAGAAATTGACGAGGAAGTTGAGGAGGAACAAGAACCGGAGGACGAGTTCCAGCGTTTGCGAGAAGAACGTGAACGTGAACGCTTCGAGAGGCAAAAAATGAAATATGCTCGCGGCATATCGGCAGCTACCAACTTGAACTTAGATGGCGACATGGCAGGCGTTTCGGCTGTACAATCACCCATGGCGCGTGGAGTACCACCCAATGAAGA